GTCGGCGGTTCGTCCGAACGTGCCGACCTGCGTTGCTATCCATGTCAAACCAGCGCGCATCTTCCATTCCATCGAGATATTTTACTTGCATTAGACGAGTTGGCCGATTTCACTCCGCAGCATCGCCTGTAGGTGGTGCACAGCGTCCATCGCGGTCGGTCGGTTCGTTGGGGCCGTTGCCAAACACATGTCCATCAAGGACCGAATCGGCTCTGGACATGACTCGTGCGCCGTCGGTCGCAGGCCATTCCGCACAACCTTGTATACAATGTGCTCGGGCGGCATGCGCAGATTCGCGTACAGCGGTGCCTGGGTGTCGAGCTCGGCGAGGAGGCATCCAAACGAGTACATGTCGGAGGCAATGGAGGTCTGCGAGGCGTCGCTGCAGAGGACTTCGGGGGCCGAGTAGAGATGGTGTTTATCTGGCACAAACGCGGCGTCGTTGCAATGGAGCCTTGACAGACCAAAGCAGCTCAGCTTGACATGCGGCCACTCGACCAGGATGTTCTTTGACGTGAGGCTGCGATGAATCACAGCAGGATGAACTACGAAATGCAGGTACTGCAGCGCGAGAGCTACATCGAGGGCAAGCGAGGCCTTGAGCCGCCACTGCATCGGGCCGTTGTCTGCGAGAAAACTCGCCAACGTGCCTTGGGGCATGTACTCGGCGACAGCCGACATGACGTCCGCTTTGTCGTCTGGCAACCACACAAACCCGATGAACGCGACGATATTCGGGTGGGAAATCGCCGCCATGACCCGCACTTCCCTCGCAAACGCCACGAGTTCGCTGGCCCGGCCGAGGGTGTCGCTGCTGGAATCGGTTGGGAGGGTTTTGATAGCGACGGGGCGGTGGTTGTAAAAGCCGTAGTGAACTTCCCAGTGTGCTGTCGATGCGACCAAGTGGTCGCATGCGACGCTGGCCCGGTCCAGGTGCATGGAGGCTGGAACGCTAGAGAGGATGTCGTTTAGCATGGCAAGCGTTGATGCAACGGGATTGTGCGGTGGAAGGATCTGCGAACCAAGATGCGCCTGACTCGCGGAGCGTGGCATGCGAGGCTGGCTCGTCGCTGACTGCGGTATCAATTGGAACACGTCAAGGTCGACGGCAGCCTCGGGGGCTGGTCGCTGCGGGGCTTTTGGCATCCACGACCTGTACAACGCACCCATCACAAGCACCAGCACCGCGAACACGCCACAGGCAATTCCCCACGCCAGAGCATGTGGATCGTTTGAGAAGCCGTCGGCATTCGAAACGACGGCTCTTTGGCTCGTGCGAATGTCGTTCAGCCACGTGTTCATGGCTGCACTTGGCGTAGGCAGGACAAAAGAGCTTCCAGTGAGCGGGACACAAGGAATGATGAGTCCTTGGGAAAGAGGAGAAGGCGGGCATGCGCCCAGCGGCGTCTCGGTCAAGATCGAGTGGACAGCTGGGAACACGCGATTGGAGATGGGGTCGGTGTGCCTAAACACCCGCAACGACAGTGTCGATGGCTCAATCGTTGCCGCTCCTTGCGACCACGCACTGGAATTTATCATGGCAATTGAAGGCGCAATGAGCGCGATCGCACATCGTGCTTGTGTCTCGATGGCGGCAAAGTTTACAGGATCTTGACGTTTGGGATTGCTGCACAAGGTCAAGGTGGTATTGGGGAATGGCGCCATGATATCCGCCATCGTCACGTTTGCACGACGAACGTACACTTGCACAAATGCATCGTTGTCTCCATCCTTCGTCAGAACAGCGCCGGAATCCCACAAAAGCGCGAGCTGTGCATACGGAGGCAGACTCGTCCACGTTAGATTTGTCGCGTTCAGCCGAGCTTGGACGAGTGACGGCAGAGGAATCGACGGAACGATTGTGGCAAGGGAAGCATTGGAAGCATGGAGAAGTCTGTAACGAGCGACGAAGTCGGCGCTCTCGGTCCATGGACGCTCTCCAGACATGACGTCGGGCGAATCGTTCCAGTCGAAGAAACGTACCATGCATACATACTGTCGTGGCAAAAACGTTGATTTTTCACAGCCAATCAGGGCATTTCAACATAAAACCCAACACGTCGAACGTACGTTTTAAGTACATCTGTCTTCGATTGCTCTCGA